AGATCAAGACGTTTTGAACGGCGATCGTGCGCAAGTCCGACGTGGCGCCAACAACCGTTAGAATCGACGCCGAAAAGAGGTTCTGGGCGTAAAACACAATGTCAAAGAGAAACCACGTGCCGGCCGTGCCGAGGAGGCTCTTGCCGTAGTGCTTGAGGATGAAGTTCCAGCGCACGGCCTTGACCGACACTTGGTCGGCCATCATCGCACGGTATGCCGTGGGCTCCTCGGCCGTGATGCGGTAGTAGACAAGAAACAAGGCCGGGAGCACGCCAAGGCCAAAGAGGATGCGCCACATGAGTTCGAGGTCTCGCGTCGACTTGTCGTCAAAGACGTTGACCATGACGAGGCCCATGACGCCGGCGAAGAGAAAGCCGACACCTTGCAGCGAAAACGTGAGCGCGACGCGACGGTTTCGGTCCGCAGGTGACGTGGCGTCCTCCGACGACGACGCGGCGGCGAGCGGATATTCGCCGCCGATACCAAACCCGAGGATACCGCGCGCAAAAATGAGGAACCATAGCGTGTTGTGGCCCGACCCGCCGTACGCTGCCGCGCATAGAATACCGCCAAAAATGAGCAGCGCGCAGGTCGCCACCATGCATTTCTTGCGGCCGTAGACGTCGCCGAGGAAGCCGAACGCGAGCTGCCCGAGGACCGCGCCGATGAGTGCGGCAGACGAGACGTTCGACTTCATCGAGGCCGTGTACACGTCCTTGCCGTACTGGTCTTGGAGGATCACGTTGATGATGTTGATGACCGAGAGGTCATACGCGTCGTTGAAGAAGCCGAGACCGCGTAGAAAAAACTTGTTGACCATGGTCGATGCGCAACTTGGTCAGCGGTGGGCGGTGTAGAGGCGAAGTGCAAGTGAGCTAAAACGGTACGATTGCGGCGACTGATGTTCCCCGTCGAGGCATATCTTGGAAGGTTAAGCGCAACGCGGCCGCTCTGGCTCTGAGTATGCACTGGAATCTTGGCCATCTCTCGAACATCAAACAAAAAACGCGCCACCAACGAGTCGCCGTTCTATAAGGTGTGGCTCGCCGCCTTTGAGTGTGTCGTGTCCAAGGAAGACTGCGCTGGAGGAGAGGAGAGGCGACTCGGAGCAAATTGGTGCCACGGATGCAGGAATGGATTGGACGATGGCATTATGCGATGGACGACGAGCTTGTCGGTAAAGACGATGGCAGCAACGACAAGACTTTCCCGGTGGTTTCATGCATATCAGTCGGGTCGCACCTACTGGTACTACGTACACGCGGAGCATTGTCTAACCACAGGCTCTCATGTAAACCTACACTACTATTGCTAACAACAGCTACTACTGGGGTGGCTTCACCTTGACGAGGCGAGGTTCCATGCCTCCCTTGGGTGTGCTCAAGAAAAAAAGCTTGCTCCGACGCACCTCTTCCATCGGTCCCTGCATCTGCACCGCCACTTGATGCTCGCTTGTCGACAGAGCCATTGAGCGACGCCGCACAAGTGGCTCACCTAGCGGGCCGAGCTCTTTTACGTGTACGCTGGCTTCCCTATCGACGACGAGACGGGTTCTCATGCCAACGACCACCATAACGCCCAAGCTCACAGACGGCACAAACGTATGCAGTTGGCATCGTTGACGGTGTACAGCTGTTGCCAGGCAAGTCAACTTCCGGATCCAATGGTCGCTGGCCGTGACAGTTGGCGGCCAAGTGTCGACGCCGGAGCCCGCACGTCATGACGGACCACTCGGATCGGACAGCAAAAGCGGTGTGGAAGCTTTCTCGACAAGATATTTAAAGAACGAGACGCTACGAATTCGGCACGCCGCCACTAGATCCTCGAAGGGTTGGGTCGCTCACACGATCCAAAGACGCATACCACGGACGAACTCGTAGGTGAACATGCTTAAAATTATGGTATTTTGATCTCCAATTTTGTGACAACAATGGATGAGATTGTGGGGTCACTGGAGCGAGCGACCTTAACGTAATGTGGAATGCGCGAAAAGAATCAAATTCGTCATCAGGTATCGAAGTGTCGGCCAAAATATGCACCGGTAGCGCAATTTTTGCTACGAGTCAGGAATCCCTTCGGGGATCATCCGTAAAAATTGGAACGATACAGAGAAGATTAGCATGGCCCCTGCGCAAGGATGACACGCATAAATCGAGAAGTATCGCACTTTTAACTTTTGGCATGCAGAATTTGTATGTATTTGCGGCATTTAATCGTTTTGTTGCTACACAACGACACGGTAGTATACGGTGAGCCGCCGGTCATCGGCGCGGGTGCGCAAGGCCACCGGCTCCTCCATCAAAGTATCGTCTTTGCGCCAAAACACCAAGCTGGCCTCGACCTCAAGCCGGCGCTTGTTACGTGGTCAGCGCGTCACCGTGGCCACTCGCTACGCTACATGCAGTCCAAGCTCACGACGTCCCCGGTTCCGGCCTGGTCGTCGCCAAGCATGGCTGTCGTTGCCAACGCCTTCGCGCCGTGGGGCAGCTTTGCCGACCCGTCACTGCCCCGGATCCTGCGCCTGCTTACGTCAAAGGCAATGCCCGACCGGTTCAAGTTCATGCTCAAGTACTGGTTCGACATTCGCGTGGGGCCGAGCACGCTTCCGGCGCCGTCGCCGCTGGTCCACGAACAACCGCTTTGGTCCAACCAGTTTCTCCCGGTAGATAGCTGTAGTTACATAGAAAAGACCACAAGATGGCACACTCGGTACGCTCGGACGATGGCCAAGATCGGGATCACTCAAGCCCAGCACGTCTACATCTTGATGCTCGCCGCCACCCCGATAGAGACGCTCTCGACAAAAACTCAACGCCTCATCCACGCGGTGACAGCAAAGTGCCGCGGCCGTGACCTCGGCCCACATGTGATACCGAACGACACGTGGCTCGGCTGGCTCGCAACGACGGTAGACGCCTTCACGTGTGGCCCCGTGCCAAGCCCGACTCCCAAGCTGCCATGGCTCGTTCAACTCCACAAGGCTACCAAGTCGTTGACCCTGACGAAGCCCGTCGACGTCGTGCCCCGCCAGGGACGCACTACCCGACGCTATCTTACCCAAGTACGCCGACTTCGTCTACCAAGTGATGCTCCGCGCGGTCAAGTTCCGCGCACATTTGCACTGGCTCGACAGGGCCGACCAAGCGTGCCTCTTCTGCCCCGCGCACGAGACGTACCGCCACTTCCTCGTATTAGACTGCGACTTCATCAAGGACGTGTGGAGCACGCTTCACGCCGTCACGGTCCCTTTGGGTGTGACCTTGCCGACTACGCTCTCCGGCTACCTCTACTCGACGCCCAAGACGGCGTCCAACATGCACCAAG